CTGTCTGTGGAAAGCCCATCATCCTTCTTTGGCCTGCAGATCTTTATCCTGCAGCTTGTAGGCTGCAGAAAATTACTACTTGCCCATTTTCAGCAGAGGTAGGTAGACTGTTCCAGTAGAAGCTGTCATTAGGTCATTTATATCAGTCTCCTGAGGCATATTTACAGGTCAGAAAAGATCTGGAGGGCAAACAGAGAAAAGTCTTCCTTCCTTCCTTCTAGTTCCTGCACTAAGGACCAGAAAGATGACAGGGATTTTGATACCACTGCCCTGAAAGAGCTGCCAGCCCCTGGAAAGCTCTTAAATGTTTGACGCCTTTGAGCCGCAGAGGTGGGAATGCTCACTTTGAATAGCTCACAAGCTGGTTGTGCTCGGACTTAACCTGCTGCTGCAGCTCTGAGTTGCCAGCACTGGAGGCTGATGTCCCTTGATACCTGCCCTGAGTGCCCCATAGTGAGGCATCCCCTTTCTCCCTTCTTGCTTGCCACTGCTCATGAGAGTGGAGTGTGTTGCTTCCCTGCATTGTCAAGTGCCCTGCCCCAGCCCACATGGCAGCACCTTGCTGCCCTCCCTAGGACAACACCAAGCAAGGGACAGCTTGCAGCCAAGCAGGAGCACCTGGCTCTCGTGGGAGCAACAGTTGAGCTGGGCTAGTGTGTCTCCAGGCTGGTGGTAGCCCATCCAAGGGCAGCATGCGATGGGGAGGCAGCGCGGTGACATGGAGGCTGCACAGGGATCGCTAACACGAACGGTGACAATCTGTGAAATAGCTTTTGAACTAATGTCTCCTTTCTTGGCGTTGCCAGCAGTTTCTGTGCTCAGTGGAGTCTTAATGGCGCTTCAGGAAAAGGATGCGGTGTGAGATCTGCTGTGATGTTTAGGCACGATCGTGTGGCTGGTTTTCTCTCTCCTCCCCCAAACCTCGCACTTCTTTCCTCCCCTTTCCCACAGCAAGCGCAGCACTTGGTGCAGTAGGTGTTATCCCTGGGCCCATGGGGGATTGCTGTAGAAGCCCTCTCCTGAGCAAATTTTTTCTTGAGAAGTCACCATTTCAGCTCAGCAAAGTGTCTGGATTTCATAGCTGTGTGTGTTTACACTGCTCTGTAAAACAAGGCTCCTGGGGCCTCTTTTCCCAACAGCCTTTTGGTTGGACTGATGCTGCAAGTCTGTCAACAGTTCGCTCAGCCGTGCATGAACCAGGAGGAGCTGTGTCTGCGCTAAGAGAGATCTCACCCAGAGTATCTCTTCACCCCATATGTCGGCATCAGAAATGCCAAGGGGATGAGAAACACATCCGCCTTTGCCAAGTGGTAGCAGATGTTCAGCTTCAGCAGAGGAGGAACCAGGAACGTGGAGCCTGTGTATAGCCTCGTACATTTATGTGCTGATTTTGGGTGCATGTGATTGCCTTTTCCAGGAATTCCCCGATTTATGAGTGTTTCTAGCATGTGCCACTTAGGACAGAAGGAGGACACTATCTCCTATCTGGGATGCAGATCAGAAACAGATTGCGTGACATGTGCTGCGTAACTGAGACTTTTTTTTTGGGTCTGGAGCAGGAGGGAGTGCTGCCACCTTCTCCACTGTCAGGCCACTCCCTATGTTCAGTCACCATCTGGAAATGCCACTGCTGAAGCTTGTCTTCTGCTGGGGCAGGGGATCACACCCAGCGTTTCTGCTGCAGGCACCATGCCTGCTGGTGCCATCACACAAGGTTTGCGTGAACTCATGTCTGCGCAGCTTTGGATAGATGTCCCCAGCATAGGGACAACAGGACCTTGGCTTATTTTGGAATCCCATGTCTCATTTCTCCTTGGACCTGGAATCCCAGGTTGCTGCATTTAGGAGCAGCTGAGGAGCAGATAAATCTCTCGGCTCACTGTTTGTATTTAGGAGCTTATCTCCTTTTCCACATTTGCTTTTCTGATCATCTTTAGAAAACTTACACAAGCCAGATGAATATTGCCATTAAACATCTCCAGACTGCACCACCAGTGGTAGGTAACGTGCTGGCTGCTGGCAATACAGCCGTCCTTTCTGCTCTCCTTAGCTAGCTTCAGCCCCTGGAAACTGTGCTGGAATTGAATAACACAGAATAACGCTTTCTGTGTGCCTGGCTGTTATCCCTGTGTGACTGGGAACAGCTTCAAGTCACTGTTGTAAACCAGAGGCAGCCAGTCCCCATGCTGTTCAGTCTGTCTACAGTCACGGGGGCAAGGCTTGGCCATTAAGTGCAACCATGATATCTTTTTCAGTGGAAACCTGAAACTGTCACCCCAGATCTACCAGATTTTGGAAATAACGGGGTCTGTGCTCATTGAGCTGCATCTAGACCAGGATGCCAGGACCACTTTTGGGCTTCGAGACCTGGGTGCGTGCCCTGATCCCATCTCTCTTGAGATCTGGAGGTGTATCAGCCATAGCGTGCTTTTGTTTCCTGGGGCAGAAGGTGTGTGCATGGTCTGGAAGGGACCTGTGGGGTACCCCAGACCCCTGGGACAAGCAGTTGAGCCATAGCCATACGATGTGCACACTGCTGACTTCTTTAGGGTTAATCGTCCCTTGGGTCACAGTGAACCTGTATATTCTCTGCACTGTGCTGCTGCCTGGATTTGTTAAAAACCAGCCTCAGGAGGGAGTAGGCATGGTTGCACCCACAACTCCAGGCTCGTTTGCGGGGCATGGAGCAGCTCACCAGTGCAGATAGGTCAAAGCTGGCCCTATCTACTCATTTCCCTGTGGCTTGTGTTCTTTGTAGGACTCCTAGCTTTAGCCTCTGTGGCTGCCCAAGTAATATGGGTGGTTATATTTGACCTGAGGGTTGATTTTACTGACATCCGTAGGAGATGGCCTTGGTGGAGCATACGGGCTCTGTCCCCTCCAGGCACATGCTGACAAATGTCCTGGACACGGACTCATGCCTTGTCTTCTCTTCCAGGTACAACCCAGAGTGTGCCCTCTCCCAGGTACAGCCGCTGGAGCCCTGGGGCAATACTGTTTATGGCTATGCCACGTAAGTGCACTTTGCTGTCCCCACACCATGACACAGGACCTAATGCTGGCACAGCCATATCTCCTCACATCCTTTCATGCATGGTGGCTTTGGAGGCTTGAGAAGGCTTTCTCTCATGTTTCCTCTGGCTCTCACCCTCCATCTGTAGCATCTGCTGTTCAGGCACTTCTTTCTTTCTTCCTGACATCGCTGGTGGCAGCCTATGCATCAGTTACAGGTCATGCATGAAAGTGCCATCAGCTCCTGTCATCTGTCCTTCCAGGTCTGAGCCTGATTCCCAAAGGTGTACGTGCTATGAGCAGGTCATAGCCTCCTGAGATGATGAATGTTGCTTACTGCTCCAGTGCCAGTTCTGCTGCCTTTTCAACTGCTGTCACCCACCTAGGCATGCAGGACAGGCCATGCTCTCCTCTCCCATCTTCCTCTGCTGCTTTTTCCCATCTCATGCCCTTCCCACCCTCCCCTGGGCTAAAGCCAATTATTTTGTGTCATTGCCTGGGGAATTAACTTGGACTCAGCCAACAGAATCTGGATTGAGTTGGCAAGCCCTGACTCACCCCCAGGGCTTCATGCCTGTTGCAGAAATGTGAGGGTGAGTCCTTACTCTTGTAGGAGTGAAGATGCAGAAGCCTATGAGTTGCAGGATGGGGAGTTCAGCTCTGGGATCTTCATGAAATATCTGAAGAAACATATACTGCAAGAGAAGAAGGTTACACACATGCTGGAGGATGTGTTGGAAGGTAAGGGACGAGCTAGCAACCCCTTGCTTCAGTAGCAGGGGTGAGAAGAGATAGCGGCAGAAACAGAGTGGCTCCACGCCATCGCAACCCAGCCAGCCAGCCCTCCCTAAAAAACAAATCACAGGCCATGCCCCATGGGAGCTTTTAGTAACCTGGCAGCAGTGTTTCAGTGTAGGGTCTGAAAGGCAGGGAGATCAACAAGGAACCTGGAGTGACCCTTTGTGCCTCCGAACTTTTTCCCCTAGACATCGGGCGGGATCCCTTGGTCACTGGGAAGCAGGTGATGGAGATCAAACACACTCTGAAGGAAGCCCGGTCCCTGACGGACCCGATCTGTCCATTGGGAGCAGCTGCCGAGCACTGGGGATGCAGCCATGGTGAGCCATGCGTGGGGTGGGGATGCCTACCAGGTGGCAGGGAGGAGGGGCTTGGGGGTCCCCATACCCCTCAGTGACAGTGGTCTGCAGGGAGGTGTTGGTGGGACCCTCCGAGGAGCTGACTGCTCTTGGCTTTCCCTTCCAGAGCCGCCGAGCAAAACGGTGACCTTCCCCTGCGGAGCACAGGTGGAGCTCTGCTTCCACCGGCTCTTCTCCAACGTGATGTACGTGTGTGCCAAGCTGCAGCCTCCCCCGGCCCACGTGGCTGACGCCCGCCTCCTGCTCTGCCGGCCCACCGTGAGTCCTCCGGCTGGTCCCCTTCCCCTGAATTCCCGCTGGGCTCCTTTCCCCAGGGCAGAGCTGGGAGGGTGGTTAGGGTGAGCCCAGGGGGTCCTGAGTGCTGGAAAAGGCTGAACCCATGTGAAAAAGGATTCCCTCCTCTGCTACCTCTTATGCAAATAATCCTCTCTGCAAACCCCTCTTGGAGTGTCCCTTCCACCCATCAGTGCCCTGCAGACTGCCTGCCTTGCTCCTAAGGCATTGCAAGAAGGATTTGCTGCCAGTTTTGATGCCTTTAACCAGTTACCCCTCAGACCGATTTCTAGCCTGCCTGATTAAATTACTGCATTTAATCTGATTGAAGTGAAGAGCCTTTCTGGTTTCCGTGTTTGGAAGCAGATCTGGCTTTCTGAATCATGCCTTCTTAGCCCACTGTGCTAATGAATCTTAATGCAACAATATATTTCTTCCCTGTTGAGCCATGATAGCTTCCTTGCACCCTTTCTCACACCTTTCCTAACAAACCACGTACCTGGCATGGTCTTTTTGGGTGGTCTCCATGCCACCTCTAAGGTGCTTCTTTTTGCTAACCTTCTTCTTCATTTTCTATAGTCCTTTTGCTGAAGTGTAGCGTGACTGTGGTGGATTTTTCGGCCCTTGTTGCTCGTGGAGGGATGCTGCCTCTAAGTACATTGTGGTCACTGATGCAGCATGGTGTGTCCAGCAGGAGGTCTGGAGCCTGATCCTGCCCATTACCAAGCCGGAGCATCGCTTCCCATCGTGAGCTCCCGAACCACGCGTGAAAATCGTGTGTGTGTGTGTGTGTGTGTCTGCATGTACTTGTGTGCATCCACCCCATATCAGTGATTGTGGGGAAGGGGGGACCCAGCTGCCTGCTTCTGCATCCAGAGCTGTCTCACGAGGGATTGGGGAGACCAAAAGGGGATCCCAGTATAGCCAGAGCTGTAGGATCCCCATCCCTATCCTACTCCACGGCGGTGCTAGCTCACAGTGACCTCCAGTGGTGTCTGCTCACGTGGCAGCACATCCTCCCACTGGATTGCAATTTGTCTTCCCCACGTTAGACATCCGCAGCAAGGCCACCCGCTCTCACCTATGGGACCACAGAGAGATGCGCGGGTGTCTGCAGGAGGGCACCTGTCTCCTTGCAGGGTCTGGGCAAGCTGGCTGCGTCCTGACTGTGCCAACGCTTCTCGGGGATGCTGAGGGGAGCTGGGGGACTGTCTGAGCCACATTTGCACTGCTGAGATGCAGGAGCTGGAGGTTGAAGGCCAGGAGAAACAGGCTCAATAAGAGATGCATGTTGTAAGCCCTGGGGAATGAACCGAGGGAGCCATTTCGTTGGCTTGCCTTTGTTGAACCTCATCAGGTTCCTC